GTGAACTGGTCAAACGTTCTGTGCCCAAGATGAAGCCGAGTTCCATCGAGATCAAAAGGAGATAGAGTTCCTTCAAAGAAGAAAGTGCATCAAATTGCATATTTGCATACATTTAGGCATGAATAGGATCATGGCACTCATAATTGCATGACGACTTAAGCATTTGCAGGTTTCCCAATGATAGTTGAAGATTGAAGATATTGAAGCATCGAGATGAAGATATTTGGTTTGGAGATTTTGAAAAGAATGATGTTTATATGAAAACTGAGCTAAAGCAGATTCAAATATCCAATGGCTCCAGACAAGTTTTCACGATGGAGATGGATTTTCAAAAATTTTCTCAACTTCTAAATTTTTTAGTATAATATTTTTCAAATATACATTCATGATGAATAATGTTTGATTTTCAGGTTTGACCTTTGAAGCAAATCATCTATAAGCCTTCACGAAAGAGTAGTGAAGCAAATTAGTTCGTTGAAGATTGAGTCCTATAATCTCTGAAGGAATAGGGAGCGGACAAGTTCGTTGAAGATTGAGTCCTATACTCTCTGAATGAATAGGGAGCGGACAAGTTCGTTGAAGATTGAGTCCTATACTCTCTGAATGAATAGGGAGCGGACAAGTTCGTTGAAGATTGAGTCCTATACTCTCTGAATGAATAGGGAGCGGACAAGTTTGTTGAAGATTGAGTCCTATACTCCCTGAAAGAATAGGGAGCGGACAAGTTTGTTGAAGATTGAGTCCTATACTCTCTGAATGAATAGGGAGCGGACAAGTTCGTTGAAGATTGAGTCCTATACTCTCTGAATGAATAGGGAGCGGACAAGTTTATTGAAGAACGAGTTCTATACTCCCTGAACGGATAGGGAGCGGACCCGTTTTATGAAGATTGTTCGAGTTCTATACTCCCTGAACGGATAAGGAGCGGACCCGTTTTATGAAGATTGTTCGAGTTCTATACTCTCTGAAGGAATAGAGAGCGGACCCGTTTTGTTGAAGATCGTTCGAGTTCTATATTCCCTGAACGGATAGGGAGCGGACCCGTTTTATGAAGATTGTTCGAGTTCTATACTCCCTGAACGGATAGGGAGCGGACCCGTTTTATGAAGATTGTTCGAGTCTTATACTTCTTGAAGGAATGGGGAGCAGGCTCGTCATTTGAAGATTTTTCAAGTTTTATTTATCCTGACGCAACATTCTCAAGACCAGACAAATTTGATCATCTTTTGATCTTTGCTCTATTCTCGTTACACGACAATGAGCAAAGAGGGGCAGCTGTAGATGCTTAATTTGTCTAGGCCTATATCATGGGCAAATGAAAGTAGTTTTTGGGAGTTGAAAACCAAAAAAACGTGGAGGGGAGGTCAGTTTTTTTTTAACTACTGGAAACCATCAGAAATGAGATAGTTCACGTAGACACAAAACAGAAAAAGAGAAGATCAGAGAAAACGGAGAGCAAAAGAATGGAAGACCTTCATTTTTGTTGATTTTTGACAGAAAATAGAAAAAAAACAGAAAGAACATTGTACTGAAATTGACTTCTATTTTGGAGATCAAAGGAAACAGAATTTACTGGTTTCAACGAACCAAAGCAATTCAAAGCAAATTCCTTCAAGGTTCATTTTCTTTATCATTATGTACATTAGCATTTTCTTTGCCAAATTTGCAATTTTTATTTTTTCTTTTCTTTTTCCAAATAAATCAGTAAATAAATTACATTTTATATGTCTAAAAAGTTCCATAGGAATCTTAGCTTTAGGTTTTCATTCGAAATAAACAATAAGGAAATAGGATAGAGATTTACCTGGACTGTTTGAATGCAAATAAGGGCATACTGACTCCATTTTCTTCTTCTTCTTTAATTCGTGTTCTAATATCAAAAGAAGGATAAGATTAGGCTTTGTAAAATTTTCGAAACAAAACCCTAATAATAAGAGAAAGGGTCTAGATAGTTTACCTCGCAATGCGTCGTTGTTTGGTGTTGAACTTGTTGGCCTTAGAAGCTTGAGTGTCCGAGAGGCTTTAAAATGGTGATAATAAGAAAGTTTGGGGTCGATTTAAGTTTGTTTCTGGGTTATACAACAATCGAAAGTGACGATCGGGGTATTTGATTTTGGGTATCGTAGCCAGTCGTGTATGGTGCTTCAAGGAGATGAGTGACGCTGTTGTTGGTTAGAGGTTTGGTCTGGGTTTCGTCGGACCACAGTGGCCGAGGCTTTATGTGAGCAGGGGAAGGGGTTCTATTAGGTTTCTGTCGAGAGAGTGAGGAAGAAGAAGGGGAGAGCGGCTGAGTTCTTTGGTTGGTGAGGTTGAGAGAAGAAGTAAATTAGAATCATATGTCAAAACGTCGTTGTTTCAGCTGTTACTTTCCTAGTTTCTATTTCTGACCCAGTATTATGCGTGCATTCCATTTCGGTCCCCAAAATCAGGCATTTCGAGCTTTATTGTTATTTTAATATTGTCTCTTAATTTTAAACGTTTTATGTTTTAGTCCAATTCCATATTAGGGTCATTTTTGCACTGTTCTTACATTGGTTATGTAATTTACGGAACTTTTATTTTGGTCCTTGAACGAATCTTTTGCACCTTATTAATTTTGTCTTCATATTTATGAGCGCTTTTCATTTTAGTCCTGAAATGTTTTTATGTTTTATTTTTGAAATGTAACTTGTAATTTTGGTTGTTTGACCATTTAGTCACTTAGCATGTTTTTTTTTTAATTTAATAGTTAATTCCTATTTTGCATGCTTAGTTTAATTTTATTTTATTATGGTCCTTCATGGTAAGTTTGAATGTGAAGTCAAGTTATTAATAGTATGTTTTATTGTATATATGGTTTTATTCTAATGTATGTTAATGTCGTAAATACATGTTTTTTTTTTAGATTTAGAAGTTTGTTTGAGCGCATGGCATATTTTAATTAGTTTTTGCATGACATTATTTTGCATAATATACATGATAATCTCATTTGCATAACTTGACATATTGCATAATTAGATTAAGGGTAATGCCCTTTTAATTTAAAATTATTGTAAGTGGGCAGTCATAACTGATTTGAGGTCCACTTTTAATGATTTTAAATTAAAAGTGTATCCCGAAAGTGAAACCAAAAAAATTGATTTGTCACCTAAAATTTGGGAATGAAAGAAAAAGAAATGTTCGTTTATTTAAATATATCGAGAAAAGGTTGTTATATCTTTAAGATCTGGTCTCGATATTTATAAATAATCGAACATTCTTTATCTTTCTAAAATGACTTGGTAATTTTAATTTAATTTGTTTGAGTGTTTTTGAATGTTTTAAATTTACATTTTTGTTTTATGGGATCCAAAAATTAAATTAAGTTCGAATTTGTAAAGTTCATTGCAAAAACGTTAATTAATCGACTAAGTACCGATTTAGGGCGTTGTGGGGGTGCTAATCCTTCCCCACACGTAATCGACTCCCGAACTCAGATTTTGGTAACGCAGACCTCAATTTGTTGTTTTAATTAAAATTAATTTTTATTTAAAATGACAAAGCATTTTTGGGTGCCCAATCACACCCTAATCAAAGATTGGTGGCGACTCCTTGAACTGTATTTTTCGATCGTAAAGGAAATCTAAAAATTTTCGAAACGAGAGGTCTTTTAAATCGCATTTGTTTTTAAATTAAAAAGAGATAATTAAAAAATTAATGTGGTTTTTAAAATCTCTCACTTTTTCACTTTTAAGAAAAAATCGTTTCGACATGAAAGTTTTAGGAATTTGACCTGGATAGACCACATAAGGTCAAACAAAAAAAGTTGAGCAATTAAACTCGGATTTAAAAGAAAGAAAAAAGCATACGTCAAGTTTGCATGTTCATTACTCCATAATGGTAAACGTGTGTGTGCAGAAGAACTAGTTATAGTGGAAAAGTTCAACAGAATATAGTAGAGTTAAAAATGGTGTAAAAGCATTGTCCGTAATGAATTGATCATAAAGGAAATGAAGAGAGATGCATTTACTTATACCAACTTTTTAAATTTTCACTATATGATCTTTGCTGCTTGTCGTCTGATAGAATCCAAATTGAGATATGTTCTTGTCCGTCTTGACCTCTTCATCATTTATATCTTCAAAGGTAAATTTCGATTGTTGAAGATCCATCAAAGTCCGAAGTAAACTTTTTTTTTATCTTATATTTAAATTAGTTTAATGCTATCAGTATAAAGCACAAGTGTGACTGATGTGATGATTAATTCGGTTGGTTGGATTGGATGACAAAAGTAATATATATATATTGTTGGTGTGGTGATATATATATAATTTGTTTATCACCACACCAACAATCAATGATCATTCGTTAAAATATTTATAAATATCTTTTCCATCCGTAAAATATTTATTTTACACTATCGTGTCAAGTATAATAACTTAATATTGTGTTATTCATATTGGATTGTAATTGCTATTTTATTAATTAAATTAATATATAAAAATTTAAAACTAATAAAATTAAATTTTATAATAACTTTTGTAGATCTACTTGAATTCGGAGTTATGGATTACTTAAAGATTAATTGAATTGAAAAATTATTAATTAAAGGTTTTAAGTTAAAATTAATATTATTACAGAGATACATATATTTGTAGATTCAATACTTGAAGAGCTAACACAAGACTATAAATATATATATCTAATTTTTTTTATTAGTTAACTTGTAATCATTAGTTAAATTAATTTTATAAATATATTTTTAGATAAAATATATCATTCATTTAAAAAGAATTTGCACATGACATTCATTTAAATTTTACTATGAGATATATAAATATTATCCACTTGAGATAAAAGTTTGTGTTACTGGATCTATAACAAGGGGAATGTGAAAAAGCAAATTCCTTTCGAATTTAATTATAAAGGGAATTTAGTTTTAAGTATTTTTCAGAACAAGTTACCGCCTACGCAAGAAAGAAAAAGGAAGAATAAGAAAGGAAAAGAAAAGAAAAGAATATAAACGGTTTTAAAAGAAATAGTGTCTGTCCGTTCGTTCTTCCCAATAGTTGAATCGAACCAAAAGAAAGATGTGGAGTGTGTTCTTCGTTGGGTTGGTTGTTGGAGTGCTAGCAGTTGTGAGTCTGGAACTGGTGGGATTGTTGTTCGTGTTAAATCGATTGAATCGAAGGATCAAACGAGAATCTCTTGCTGCCTCGAATCCCCAGTCTCAACCTCCCCTCGATTTCGCTTACAACAAGCAGGTTTGTACTTTGCTCCCATATTTCGTATATTTTCTTGCTGAAATTTGAACTTGCTTGCATCTTGTTTTGTGTTAGGGGACTGTTTGGGTTCTTGAATCAGAAAAAGCTCCAACACCCAGGGAGCAGAAGCGAAAAAAGGACTCGCCCTTGGAGGTTTCCCCTACCCGAAAACATGCTAAAATCCTGGAAAACAACTTGGTTTTCATACATTCTGATGCTTCCCGCACTACTACTATTCCCCTTAAGGGCTGCATCATTGAGGCTGTTTCCGCAACCAATTTACCCTCAAGAAAATGGTATTCTGCCCCTTTCTTTCACTCTTCTTTCTTGCTTCATTGTTCAATGTTCATGTATTTACGACAATGATTCTTACTTCAGTCTCAACTCTGAAGCCTATCTGCCTCATCTCATCTTTTTGCTTCAAGTTGTAAGTTCAAGTTTTGGGTTTTCAATCAAGCTTTTGTAGTTCTTAAGAATTAAGCATATAGATGCCAGTCTTGGTTAGTTTGTTGCCTTCGGATCATACAATACAATTCTGATATGATATAGCTTAATCAGAGTTGGTCCAAGTTATGCACTTTCAAAATATTTGTCTTTGTTTCATTCATTTGCCTTTGTATGAATGTTTTTGATAGGACCAAGAGATTTCCAATAAGAGTGGAAAGCAAAACTTCACCCATCTACAATGGAAGTAAAACAATTTACCTTTATCTGGAGACTTCTTGGGAGAAGGCATCATGGTGCCAATCTCTTCGTCTTGCTTCATTTGAGGATAAAGAAAAGCTGAGCTTGTTTGCTAAGCTGAATGAAGACTTTCGTGCTTACTTAGCATCTTTAAATGCTGGATATCCGTCGTTTATGAAACCCTCTTTAGGTTTCAGTGCTGAGCCAATGGATAAGGGAGGTAAATTTGATGGATCTTCATCAAAAGTTAGATTATTTTGGAGAAAGCTTTCCAAAAAGGCCATAAAGCCTGGTATGGAAAATAAGGGAATTTGGACATCTCAAACTGCCCGTGAAGATAGAAAGACTTGTGAGAAACAGCATCCATTCCAAGATTCAGTGACAAAGAAAGTACCAAACAATTCGACCGAAGAAAATATGCCATTTCCATTACAGCAAGGTTTTCCTTGTACAGTTAGTCAAAGTGCTTCTGTTGCTTCTGATGCTGATTCAGAACAAGAAAAGTTTAGTTTTGATGAAGGGACGCTCTGCTGGAACTTGTTAATTTCTCGAATGTTTTTTGATATCAAAGGAAATGCAGCGTTGAAAAGTTCTATTCAAGCACGGATTCAGGTTGGATAGTCACCAGAACTGGACTTCCTTTTTCTTTTTGTGCTGGGTATTGCCTGTTCATGTCATTTGTTGCATTTTGGTTCATTTGTTATTATAAAAAAGATTGCATTTCGACTTCTGATTTGTTTTCCAGCCAAAACAAGGGAAAAGGAAAAACTGTTTTGTTTTTTTCAAGCGGTTATTTCAAGTTTCTTTATTCAACATCTCCTTTGTTAGTACAATCAAAATTTTGGTATTACCCAGTATTTTGGTGTCAATGTAGACTACATTTTTGTGTTCTTTTACTGCATCAATGTTTTGATTTAGACATTTGATGGTCATTTTGTCTTCTAGGTATTCATGTAATTAGTTCTTTTGAAAACGTATCCTAATGCACATCAAAGGTGGTTTTTGATTAATTATATGATTTGATATAACAGAGAACATTGTCCAATATGAGGACCCCTAGTTACATTGGTGAAGTCATTTGTACTGATTTAGACATTGGAAACCTCCCACCTTATATCCATGCAACGAGGCTTCTTCCTACAGACATGAATGAGGTATGGGCATTTGAAGTTGATGCTGAATATTCTCATGGAATTCTGTTAGATGTTGAGACCAGACTAGAAGTTAGTGACCAGGATTTTCAAAAAGGCCTAGTGGATCCGAGTTCAGAATCAAGTTCTGCTGAGAATGTCTCTTCAGACCTTCTTGAAGGCTTTGAGCATTTTGGAAAGCATTTGAATCTTCCTGAAGAGGATGAGGTCGACCCCAAAGTTGGTTAGTATAAAAATGAAAGCTAATTTTTATATACATATCCATCAACTTTGGCATTGATACAGTGAAAGAAACTGGCCAAGTGAACTTACATTTGATGTTTCTATCATTTGTGCAGGCGGCTATACGGGAAACTATGGTGCTTCCAAACTGTGAGAGTGCATGCATTCCTTTCATGCTAGCAGAAAAAGATGATTGGGTCCCAAGGAAAGATGCCCCATTTATATGGCTTAATCAAGAGGCAGCTACGGATAATAACATTGAAGCAAAGGAAAATAGCAGGAAAACCTCAAGCTCTCATCCAGAGAGCAAGAATCCAAAGCCGAAGAAGGATTCCTCTCGGGATTTAGGCACCGAGTCTGAAGCCATACCGTCATCAAGTTCTTCAGCAAAGAGTAGGTCTTTGCAAGATCTAAGAACTCCCCTTCTTGCGATTGATGAACCACATGAAACACACCAGCAGAATAGAGAGGAAACTTCAGATTCTGTGTCGGTATCTAGGTCTTTGACCGAGTCTGAACGGCAGAGTAATGTAGGCGACGACATTGATTCAAGGTCAAAGAAGACGGGGAGGAGGGCAAGGATGATGGATTTGACGAAGAAAATGGGAGAGAAACTTGAAGAGAAGAAGCGACACATTGAAGAAAGGGGTAGGCACATTGTTCAGAAAATGAGAGGACCTTGAGACCAGTTGAAACTTCATGGCATTCATTCTTTGATGCTGAAAAGGACTGTAAATGTGAACTTGAAGAACTATATATCAAAGAAATAGTGTACTAACGTTATGGGTGGGATAAGCTGTATGCGATCATTGCTTAGCTGATTCAATTACTTCTGTTCATCAAATTACAAATATTCTTATTCATTATACAATGCTCTCATTTTCTTACATTGGAGCCGTGACATTATTTCAAGGGGTTAGCAAAAGGGAAAAAAAGCAAAAAGGATGGATAAAGTGGGCTAAATGAAGCACAACAAATTATTTAATCCTTTTATTTCTATATTACAATTTGATTTTACTCATTTACAGGCCAAGGGAATGAAAAAAATCGGTTACATCCATGAAAGCTGAAGCCGAAAAGAAGAAACAACAATCCAATCCATCACTAAAATCACTATTTGAAAGACCCTCAGCTATTGGTGGTATTGTAAGAAAATTTTACAATGACCGATAATGGAATGTTGAGCTTATGACCTTGGTCACCAAAAAGTCCTATCCTCCCAAAGCTAGCGACAGAGTGGTTCATTGTTGCATTAAAGAGTATTGTCAAGACCTGCTTCTCTCCCATGCCAATAAAGAATTGAGTTGGAGTCACCTTCACCGACACCCCATACGGAGCACTCCAACCAATTCTGTACGTTTCATTGCCAGCAATGTTAGACACTGTTCTTTCAACTGTTTTAGACTGGTTCAGTCTAGCAACGGTAATGGATGGCAGGTTCAGGTCAGCACTACCAACATTAGAATTATAGGCCCAACAGTTTTGACCAGTGTAATTCAAGACTACTGGACCAGAACCATTGATGCCGCAAAGAAAAGACATATAATCATCATATGCTGCAATAAGAAAGTAAATAGTAAGAATGAGATGCACACAACTACCGCAAAATGTCCTGTAGAAAAAGTTATTTGCAAAAGCAGAATGACTTACTCAAATCTAAGGTTAGACCGGGATTGAGAGCTGAAGTAGCATTCACAAAACCACTCCCCATGTCGAATGGTGTTGCTGGAGACTGGTTTACATCAGGATTAGCATAAGTACGATGGGACATAATGGGGCCACCGCTATTGTCATAAAGAGAAGCTGTTGTAGAGAGTGCAGATGCGATGGCGGCAGGACTAAAATGAGGAAACTTTTGTTTTATCAGTGCAGCAAGCCCAGCAATATGAGGAGCAGCCATGCTTGTTCCAGACATCATCGCAAAGCTTTCACCTAAGAAGTCAAGTTAATTGTTTAAGAATAATGCTGCTGCTTATATAGAATTTTAACTCAACTATCCGTTACTTCTCTATTTTAGTACCTTGGAATTCAACGGAATCCATGCCAAGCGAACTCCAGGCAGCCCATATCATATTTCCAGGAGCAATCAAGTTAGGTTTCATTATGTCTGCATCATCTAGAAAACTGTCTTCTGGGTCTGGTCCTCTGGCCGAGTAATACATAACTTTTGGAGCAGTAATACTATAGTTTGCTTTCAGTCCACCTGAAATGATTGCAACAGCCCCAAATCTAGAAATTTTCCTTGTAAGTCCATTTCTCTCCAAAGAAGAATTGTAATATTGGAGTAAAATCTGCTCACAACAATTATAAAAATCAGTAAATTCTCTTATTGTGTTTGTGTTCGTGGACGCCTGTGTATAGGTAGAGAGAGGGTACTCTGGATTCTAACACCAGTTACAAAAATATCAGATGATATAGAAAAAATTGCCAACATTTTCCCACCATATGCAATTAAAAACAACGAAACAAGACATGAGAAATTATGATAAAAGAATTTGCATGTGCCTTGTGGAAAAAAAATATGTAGAAACTGCACCTTGGAATCCTCTGGGGATGGAATTATAATGCCAGGCGTTTCCAATGGCGTGGGATTAAGCTGAAAACCAATTACAAAAGGATCCATGTAGAACACCACTCCAGCTGCACCGAGGTTCTTTGCAGTTTCTAACGCCTGCTTGATAGTAGAGAGTCCAAGCACAAATCGGATTGAGTAGCTACAGATTAACAGGTTTCCTTGGATAAGTTCCTCATTGAAGTAACTGGAGTCTTGGCATTCGCCCACATGCATATCTTTGGCAAGTATTGTGTCATTGTTTAGAGCATGAACTGCTGAAATCAGTGTATACATTTTATCTGTATCTGTCCCCGCTGCCAAGAAATAAAAAAAAGAGAAAAGTAAGTATTATGTAAGCTTCGTAATAACGGATACTCTGCATGACATTTATAATAAAATTAGGCTGAAACCTTTTTATGCAATGCATTTTTTTTCTCTTTCTTTCTTTGCCAATTTGTCAAAGCATGCCATTTAACAATGAAAAAACTTATAATCCATCAGATAAATGAAGAAGCCAATACATTTAAAAGGTAAACTTACGTGCAAGTCCAACTCCAGGGATAGTTACATTGTTTCCAAGGATGATGGAGTTAGAATATGCTCTGTCATGAGAGGCAGCACCAACAGTGAAGATCCATGGACTGAAAGAGGACATGCTCTTAGGTGATGGTCCAGTATTGCCGGCAGCTTGCACAACAAAAATGCCAGCCTTTACAGCTGATAGCAATGCCATGTCGATGGGATTGAAAAATGTTGCAATACCAGGTGGACGCCTGTTAGGAGTTATCGATAAACTTATTATGTCGACCCCGTCTTGAGCAGCCTAAAAATGTATCATGATAAAGCACTTGATTATGGATGCAAAAATGGTTGCGAGAAAAAGAAGGATTCAATCTCCATGCTTAATTCTTACAAATAAATAAATAGAAGAGTTTTCACTTTAGCCAAAAGAAATCTTGCCGGAGAAGATCCCTTATTTCCAATCGATATTCTGTGGTCTATAAGACGGATGCAAGGTCTTACCATTTTTGCCAAGGAATTCTCAGTGACCAGAGGACCTAAGAAAATTCTCATGGTGGCCTTGGAATGCTACACGCATGGCTTTTATTTCCTTCTGATTTAACAAAAGGGCTTCTTCTAGAACGAAGAAGCATGTCGATTTGGTGCAAATGTTAAAAAAAGACGAGGCTTCTTACAAGAGTGGACACAATGCGTATAGAAAGAAATATTTGCAATATTTTAGGGTGGGGAAAGGCTCAGATAATTTGTTTGAAGGGTTATAGCATGAAACTACAGATAATATTCGAGTACTATAAGATCAGTTCCCAAAAAGCAAGTCCCTCTAAATTTTCATTTTCAAATGGTCATGAATGAGTAACCAAAATACTACTCAACAGTTCCATTTCAAACCATGACGTACCTGGTCTATACCAGCAACTACATCTGCGGCAAATCCTCCGAAGCTCTTATACAAAGCCTTGTAAACAGCAATACTGGAAAACATGGCCACATCATTACTATGATTAAACAGAAACACAGGAAAAGAGTCCGATGCATCTTTATACGAAATATGGCTCAGAAAGTTCAGCTGGAATCATTCCCAAGACTCAGCAACCAAGCTAAATGCATAGTCAGAATGAAATGACTGAGGAATCTGTTCAATATGTTAATTAACGACAACTACGAACGACTCACTATCAAAGTGTTGAAGGAGTAGGGCGGGGCATAGCAAGGTAGTTTTGGAAAATAATTGAAACAGAGATTCAGTTTTGTGAACTTACTGTGAACGAGGAGCCATCCCACTAGCATTTCCAAAGTGGTGCCCAGCTACCACCACTGGAATTCCATAGTTTCCTGCAGCAACAGAAGCTGTGTGCCTGCGTTAATATTATATTCATGGGCAGCATTAGAAGATTGAGTCAAAACCGATAATATCAGTTCAGCACATAAGTAGGTAGCCAGAAGTTATCGCAGATAATTTAGCACCGACACTATTGTGGTAAAAATAAGCCCCTTGTTCATACAATATGTGAAAAGAAGGTTGCCTATAAACTCAGAAAATATCAAAGGACTGAAAATAGCACTAATACAACAATTATCACCGAAGATGCAAGAGATTCACTCACGTGCCATGGCCATCACCGTCAAATGGTGATGCATAGTCCTCTGATGAATTGAATATTCCTCTTGTTATAGCAGATGCTGCAAAATGGCGTGCTCCAACAAGCTTCCTATTGCATGATCCGGACGGAAATTCCCGTGTCACCTCACAGACGCTAGAGAAATGGGCTGGAACTGGGTATGAATGCTCAGATACATCATCAGCAAAGCTGGGATGAGTTGGATCAATACCAGTATCAATGAATCCAATTACAATTCCCTCTCCAGCAGTTTCAAATCCCCCTCCCTGAGTCCATGCACCCTTTGGCAAACCCAAAAACTGTGGAGTATGTGTGGTTGCAGTTCTAACAGAGAAATCCAATACAATATTTGCAACTTCCCTTCTCTTCGAAAGCTTGTTCGCCTTAAAAATGAATAACACAACAAAACCAAGACCATTCTGCCTAATTAATAACAAAAATTTCAAGAAGGAAATTAAAAGCTTTTATGCAAAACTACACAAAGAATATGAGTCAAACGTATTTCATGTATTTAGTAAGTAATCAATTATTATACTTGAAAATGCTATAATTTCCAAAAAGAAAAAAACATTCAGCAGGATAATGATGATAGCATTTGACAAAATGATGGATAATTATGAGGAATGTTGATTGAAGTTCTACCTGTTCAGGGGTGATGAACACAGCGAAGCCATTGACCAAGTACTGGTAACTATACAACTTCAGATATTTCTCCCCCCTCAAGGCTCTCCTTAATAAAGAATCATGAACTCGAGAAATATATGATACAGAACTTGGATGAGATCTTGAATTATTTCTACATATAAAAGAATATGTCCAAAACAAAGAATCAGTCAAATTTCAAAATTTTACATCTCCAATCAACCTATACTATAATGGATTCAAGAAAAACAAATGAGATACATGCAACTCTTGAGAGAAGTGATAAAGGGAACAACAAACACAATAATCAGCATTCAGCAAATTATTGATTATTTATGGAAGTATTTTGCAAGCATAAATAATAGTTTCCAGAAGGAGATTTTGCTTTTTTGGGTAGTAATACTATTAATAGGACACCCAAAAAAAGATTTTAA